TAATTTGATTATAGAAGGGTAGGTTTGATAAATATTGATATATCATATACTAATATGTTCTAGTATTGTTGTACAATCTACAAATAAACACTACGAAATTTGATACTATAATGTCATTTAATTGATACAGATTTTGGAATTGTAAAATTTTTTAGATTTCTAGGAGGGGATATTGTGTTTTTAATTAATCAATTATTTTTTTTTTTACTATTAAAGAAAAAGCCTCCATAACGTGACCATTGATTTGTTTTAAATAATATGGTCTTAAATAATTTAAATTAAATTGTACAATTCAATATCCTTCATAAATAAACTTAAATTTTCTATGGATTCTTTGTCGGGTCTAAAGTTTAATTTATTATAACTTAAAAGTTATAACATTATTCCGAAGATCTTATTTTTGAGCAAAAGAAAGATACTCTAAAAACTCAAAGTTTATTTCATTAAGTGTATTTTCTATAGATTTTAAATTAGATGTCAACATAATTATTATTATAATATCATGTCGTGTTAAAATTAAATACGTTAGAAAGTTAATATAATACCTGAAAGTCTATAGAGTTAGAAAATACTAAGAAAAATATGTTATTGCGTTCAAAAATAATATTAAGCTATAATATTTTTTAAACGTAATGAATAATTATATATATTAAAATAATATTACTGCAATACTCAGAAGTAGGTACCAAATTTGATTTTGTTTAAAACTGTCTTAACAATATTTTATGATTTTTTTTAATATCGTCTTTATTAATTGGTTAGTTGATTTCTTTTTTCTGTTTGATTTAACAGACTCCATAGTTTATTGTGTTTCAATGTTAATATTATGTACCTAATATACCCATAACATAGTGACCACCTGTTACCAAATAATCTACTCTACCGGTCTGCCATTACTTGTCAGTCGATAGTACTTAATAGTTGTCGTACTATACTTTAATGTAGATTCTGAACTTGCTCTAAAGTTTGTCTTTTAATTCAACTGAATACCAGTCACCTTAGTCTACAATATTAATTGGAAGTAGGTATAGGAGATTTATTTTAAACTCAATTTAATCCATGTAGTACCATTAATTTTTTGACTTTATTGTATTGTATTGTTTGTAAAACATTTTAATAACTAATAAATTCTTCAGTTTCCTGATCCTTAAGTCGAAAAAAAATTGATTTACCTGATTCAAAGTTGTTCAGAATATAATATGCACGATACGTGTTCGTTATATTTGTACATAAATATTCCCGAAAAACATCCATTTCTAAAGCATTAACCTTCGACATATTTACACTTTCGAGTAGGTATTATACAATATGTACTCGAAATGATATTATATCCTTGTTAAACTGGACACGAATGATTTAGTGCTACTCGAAATTTCCTATAATTTCTAGAAATTCGCTGTCCTTGCACGGACTGTATAAGCATTCAATCAGCTTTGTTGACAGTCATGGTTAAAAAAAAAAGGATGAAACCAGGGAACTGATACTTTGTAATAATATATAGGTACCTATAATATAGTACTATAGTATACCTACTATGGAAATGTATTATAAATGTGATAAACATCTGTGCAGTTTTGTGTAGTTTGGATTAACAATTCAAATGTTATATTTATATACCGGCTAAAGAAACTCCATGTTAAATCTTGAAACTCGTTATGTAAAGCTGACAGGATGATTATTTGTGTGTGTGTGTGTGTGTGTGTGTTTATTTTATACGTAACATGTGCCTGTATTTGTTTAATATAAATTACGTGCTATAGGCCTAAAGAAAAAAACCAGATATCTTGACGTGGTGATCTTAATAATATATTAATATGCATAGGTATTAAACTTCTTATTACGTCTACGAAGTTTATTCAGAACAATGCTAAATCATAGGTACTATAGGTAGTGATAGGCTTATAGTCTATAGGAGCATGGGTGGTCGTACTGGTCACTTGAAATATTCGGTAGAGACGTATAGTATTATAATTTATAATAGTATACTCCCATCCGAGCTATGTAAGAAAAAACTAAATAAATAATATTTCTTAACTGAATCGTCTTATTAACGTCAAAATATTTTAATTGCCAAGTGAAATTGTAATCTCAGAAATTGAAATTTTCTTATGGTTTCCACCGAGAAAACCGAATTTAAATATAATTATTTACCAAGTGTATACACTTAGGATAATTTTAGTATTGGATGAATTAAAATTTTTGGGACACGCGCCTGTATGTCTGTATTCCTACGCGAATAACAAATTTCCAAACCTAACAAGAAAAAAAAAGTTAATCCCTATCACACATTTATTATTTAAAAAATGTTAAGCCTTTTTTTTAACCACATTGGTGTTGGCGTGTTGTATAATATAATGGTTTATTGTTATTAGCTTACTACTTATTACTATACTTATCATTGGACAAAACCAAACCCGACGGGATTTTGAGATCACTGTCGGTTGTAACTTGTAAAAAATAATAAAAATACTGTGTAATACATATGAAAATTACTTTGACGATGTTGAATTAATTTCAGAATTAGAAAGTTTAAAAAAGCACATTTACAACTTGGATAAAACTTTGAGGAAGCAAGGTTTTTTGAAATGCTTAATTTTCTTTATAAAAATGAATTACAAGGTACAAGATGCCCAACAACTATAAAATTAGTAGTTTACCAAATATACCTTAGAATTTTAATTATTATTGCAGTTTCACATATAAAAAAAGCTTCAAAAATTAAAATTAATGAAAGTACTTATAACCTATTACCTACTACAAAGCAATCAACACTTAATCATTTAAGTATCTATAATATCGAAAAATAATACAATTTAAGATAATTTATTGTGAAGATAATACAAGTAATCAATGTAAAAAGACTAAAATAATTAGATTAAAATTCCCAATTTTCTTTTATTAAATTAAAAGAACTACCTAAAGGTTTTTAAATTATATTTGTTTTTATATTTTAAAGAATCTCGAGTACCTACGATAGTATATGCATTATCATATATCAAGACAAAAGTCTCAAAATATAAAATGAATATGTATAATATATAAATAAATACAATTTTAAATTATTTGTAAGGAAATTATACTTTTTGATCAGTGTTTTAAAAATTAAAATTTTTTTCACTTGGGGCAGAGATATACAGTAAACATTAGCCCGGACAGCTTGGCGTCAAATGTCCATATTCGGCACTGAATACGCTTACCCAAAATCGAGGTATTATAATATTGTATTTACCGCAGAAGCTAATAATTAATATCATATTATTTGGTGCCTACTTATATATATTATAGTACCTATTACATCTTAGTTCCTTAAAATGTTTAATTCGTATAATTTTTCTATCTACTTCAGCGTGGTATTGTATTATGTATAATAACAAAACAATTATGTTCAGTAAAGCTTTTAAAAGCACAGCTTATTTTATGTCAAACATGAAGGTATAATCACAAATCAGTCATCATTAATAATACCATTGTAAAACATGGTTATTACTTATTACTTATTGGGTACTAACTACTGGTACTGAGTAGTAAGTAGGTATAATAACTTAACTAATAAATAATAATTAATAAGTATACATTGATGCCCGATTGAATAAGGGCAATATTATACAATAAACTATTAGATAATAATATAAAATCAATTAATGTTGTGCTGCAAGTTATTCAGTTTTTTTTTTATTTACTTAAATATTAGTTTCATTTCTATCACAAATTGAATTTTTTTATTGTATGAAGAACCTAAAAGTATATAAATAACTTACTCAACATTTTGAATTGTAAGCAGGGAATGAAATTTATAAAATAAAAAGTTGCTATTTTTAAGATAGAGCACATTTACACATACACATTAATATGAAACATAACTTCATACGAGTAGGTACATTTAAAAAAAAAAATGGTACCAACCGAGATCTGTTAAATGATATAACCAGAGACGAAAATGTCGTTGATGAGTAACTTCTTTCTCATGACATTACAAGTCAAAATGTATAGTAAAATAACAAAGAATGTGCTTTATTTAATAAACAATTTTTTTGATAGTACCTATGATATATTATGAAGAAATATATATATATTTTTTTTTAATGTTTAATGTTACTTTGATAGCGCTTTTTCGTTACACGTCATGGGAAATTTGAAGGTAATTATCTTTTGGATAAACTGGAATTAGGTAAGTGGCTTCCAGGAAATTGCTATGGCTGTATAAATTATCATTTATAAACATAAAATAAATTATGTTCTAATAACAACTTACGCTAATACAAAGGGCAGTTTAAATAATTGTTAAAACTAATTATTACGATGCTTTTTATTTACCATAATATTATCTAAAATCACAATTCTTATCTGGCCGTATAATATTCTACATTACTACCTACTATATATTTTACTTTTATAGTCAATTGGTTATGAATAAATTTCACAATATCAACCAATTTTGAAGCATTTTTTAAATGTTTCATGTTCAGAGATTACCACCAATCGTCATAATCGTATTGCTCTATGATACGGTGAATAATTTTTCATTGAACTAAGTAAACTAAACATTTATAATATTCTGTCACCCAACCCCTAAGTTACAATCAAATCACGAATTTAGCTTAGTTGTTTTGCAATATGATTGTTATTTTCATATCACTGTCATTATAATGACGCACAATAATATAACATAATTTATAAAAAAACAAAATATTTATTTAATTGTACACCTATGTACATTTTCGTCATAAAGAGTTAAATGATTATTAAAAGAATTGCACTGATGGGAAACATTTAAAGGATATTATATGTCTGGAGTATATAATTACTAATTGTACAAAACAAATTATTAACTTTAGTTATGTTCATGTGTCTAGTTTTTTTCCTTTAATAATATGGCATAGGTACCTAATAAATATGATACATACATATTACATATATATATATATAGAATATTAGCGATGTATTTTATAAATCGTAATTAATTGAGTTCACATTTATTTAAAATTGTTTACTATCTGTGCAACATCTATTACAATATGTTATTGTATATTTTTCAAATTTATTTAACACTTAGGTACAGTAATAATGGACATGTTATTCAAAACCGGTACACCTCTCCCACTTAAATAGAACGGCCTATGTACTTCCTCTCTTTAATCTGATCGTCGTGGGAATGGTATATAAGGCTATGCAGATACCGTAGTTTGTTTAGTATTCTCAGGTATTTCCGATTTGATCAAAACTAATTTTGGAAGAATATTTATTAGTTAAAACTTAAAACTAACAAAAATGGCTCATCTTAACTTATTTGTCGTTTTGGTCGCTTCGCTGGTGTGCTTCACACTGGCAGAAGAAAAGTACACAACTAAATTCGATAACTTTGACGTGGACAAAGTGTTGAACAATAACAGAATTTTAACCAGCTACATCAAATGCTTGCTGGACGAGGGAAATTGCACCAACGAAGGCCGAGAATTGAGGAGTAAGTCATAAGAACATATTACATTTTATTATTTAAATTTTTAAGTAGATTATACAATTAAAATTATAATTTATAATGCCATTGATTTAACTGTATCGGTACATTTTTAAAATTTGTAATATCTATATACTTCTGGGATATACTATAACACTTACCTACTATTAGGTATCAAATAATTAATATCAACAAATCGTCAATTAAAAAAAAAACAACAACAACATATTTAATATTTTTCCTACTATATAAAATATTTATATATATATATATATATATATATATATTTTTTTTTTTTAATATACTATAAGTACGTCAGTAAGTAATATGATTTTATTTATTTCTCTCACAATTATACTAGATTATCATCTTGAGTACATTGATATAATAAAAATACATAATACAATACTTAACGAAGATACCATTAATGATCAATAAAAACAACACTAACAATAATATTTTTATTTTTATTCGTAAGATTACTGATTTCACTTTCACATCAAACATATTATTATATCGATATAAGACCTTGCTGACTGTTAGATATCACTTTCACCGTGTGTTGTAATTCTTTTTTATCTGGGCCGAATTACCGTGTATAGTATTTAAGAAGAAACAAAAGAGGGTGTAGATACGTACAATTTGGTTCATCCTCAAATTTTTCCTAGCTATGTTGAAATGTTTATTAATTTGTTTTGAACAGAATTTTATATTAATTATATTGTGTTGTGTGATTAAATTTACAGAAGTTTTACCAGACGCATTAAAAACTGACTGCAGCAAATGTACAGAAGTACAAAAAGACAGATCAGAAAAAGTGATTAAGTTTTTAATCAAGAACCGTTCTACTGACTTTGATCGTTTGACCGCCAAATACGACCCATCGGGCGAATACAAGAAGAAGATCGAAAAATTCGACTCTGAAAAGGCTGCAGCTGCTAAACATTAATTCGTTTCATTCTTTATTTCTTACATTTTTCCTGTGCACTTCCCGTTGTATTTGAAAAAGTACAAAACGAATAATGTATTTCTGTCTACTTAAGGTATTTTAATATAATTTAATTATGTGCTTAAAAAAATTAGATATAATATGTTTCTGTTAAAATAAATATTAATTATTTGTGAAAAACGTGTTGTTATTTATGTTGTTATTAATTATTTTATTATATTTTAACGATATTAGTTGTTTAAGCTGTCATATTATTTCTATAAATTGGTTCGACACGATCCCAAAATTCTGGATAGTGTTTTTTCACGTAATTCAAAATTCGTCGGATGTTGCTGGTCTCTGTTGCTGTACAGCGCTCACAATCATTGTTTATTTCTTCGGGTATAGTAGCTGGAAAATAAAATATAATATTTTAAGTATATCAAATTGTTAACGGCGTAGGTACTTATGATTATACTTAAACAGAAAGTTAGTTGACTATGAAGTTAAAAATTCTCCAAACTATATTTTAAAAAACTTTTATTTTTACAGTTCATTAGTTGTATAAGCTATACTTACTTATGAATGGTTCACAAATTAAATTTTTTAACACATAATCAAAACTATTCAACGTGATTCTATCATACAAAAAAATAATAATTTTTAAGTGTCATCTAATTACTTGACTCTAATAAAATAAAATAAATATGATAATATAGGATTTTGATGTGTTTTATACCATTATACCGGTTCGCTTCGTATTATTGTATTATATTTAAATAAATACGTGTTTCATACTTTCATAGAATAGAATCATATTACTATATTAAGATTGCATATATTCACTACCATTATTATTTATCAGTTAAGTATTTGTATATAATATATTTTTATCCCAATTTAACAAATAATTTTAACATTTTTAACTAGGTATAAAAGTTCTTTAGCATATTTCATTTAAAATATTGAGTTGTGCAACGACGTGTCGTATTATGCTTTAACGTGCATCACAGAAATATTTTACAAATTATGATTAATGAATTTAATTTTTAGGACGTATAGTCTTACAATTTATCAATAGAAAAATACATAAATAAATGAAAACTTAAAATGTTATTTATTTAATAATAATAATGTGATCATGATAATTTGAGTTCAGATTTTCTCCTGGCATCTGCTTTTCTTCTATCCTTCTAAAGTCTAAACGAAGCTATGTCAACTATATAAGTTCGAATTATAACTACCAATTACTTAATAAGTATACTAAGTACAATGAAATTCATTACATTTTTTTACTTTTAACATTTTTTTAATGATTATTAGGGATGTTTTTACTTTTATTTACTTTGTTGGGGTTTAAAAACGTTTCTTGTAAGATGGTTCAAGTAGAATATTAGTTTATTAAGATGATCACAATAAAGACGATTTTAAGGGGTTAAATATAGGCAAATATTAATTTTTTTAAAGTCGAAGAATTTTATTTTTAGATTCAGAGTGGAGTGATGTTTGAATTAAATGTATAACGATGTGTGAGCAGTAAAAATGTTTGATTAATGTATGTTAAAAATGCTTGAAAATTCAATATATTCCTCTTAAGATTTTCTTATCCTATTAAAAATTATCGGAAATATATAATTTCAATTTTTATTTATATGTATATGAAGTTCAAATTTTCACAAAATTCATCAAAACCACGGAGACTTGAAATTTATTATGACAAGATTCCTCATAAGTATGCATTACTGGAAATTATAAAAAGTTTAGTGTAAAGTCACATACATTGGTTAAGAACGATTTAAGTGACATATTATTTTATGACATTGTTTATACTCAAACTTATAGAAAGTTCTTTATCTTCAAAAAAGAAAAATTATTAGAAATTTGAAACGTTCCACTATTACTTATAACATCCATCATATTTTAGTATACACAATTACATTTTCAGAATATTTAGAGTTTAGGCTAATTTTAAGTTTCCCTCAAATTTGTAGACTTACAATATGAATCCTGTTATGACATTATACGTTTAAGTATTATGGTGTAGGTACCTGCACAGTGCACATTAAGGGCATTCTATTTTACTACGTCATACCTTTGAGCCTCAATCCGGTGGCGTCACAAGGCTCCTTGTTGATGACGCAATAGAATTGTTTCATAGCGTATTTCTCGTCCAAAAGCCTGATTATGTCGAAAGTGGTAATGAAATCCGGTTTATCGTCATCGTGTTTTCTGCGACTGAAAAAATTTGTGATAGTAAAAAAAAAACCTTCAGCTTTATCAGCTTTGTTTTCGTTGTAGTCTCTTTGGGCCATATGTATATCACTGCCCGATCTGTTATTGAAGGCGGTCATCCCGGTGGATGCGGCGTGCGCCACTATAACCGTGGTAATGGTCATCAAGATCACAGAGTTCAGACAAAACGACGTCATGTTTGATGCTGTGCGGCTCTGACGGTCCTTATGTATTGGCAAAATATGTTGTGTTATAGTACATGTGTTATTTATATATGTATCATGTATACGCGATTTCTGTAGGTACAATTCTTCGAAAAATCTAGAAATCGATTTCTGCCAAAACCAACACAGAAAATTTAACATTACAATTCGTTTTAATATGAGGTTTAAGTCAGGGGTCAACATATGACGGAACACGTTCATGTTTTTATGAACATCGGTTGCTGTGTAAAAAAAATAAGGGAGTCATTATCGTTTTAAAGTGTACCTGAGATTGTGAGAAAGTTGGTAAGTAAAACTATCAGAGAACCATGGTATTGGTGTACTGTATATGTACACACGTAGTAAAATGAACATATATTTTTGGGTGACATTATTTTCTTATGTTTGGTTAATGTTTTTCACTAAAGAACTAAATAATTATCAATATTGAACTTTAAACAAACATTTTTTTTGAGCGATTTAAATAAATGTTAATTAGGTATATCTGCATGGTGTATTTAAATATATTTTATTCCGCAGAAACAATTGGACAGTAGGTAAAGCATGTGTTTATAGTATGGAAATATAATGAATAAACATTTTATTTATTTATTTTAAAAATAAAGTTTTGATGGTAATGTCTACAAAAATGTAGATAAGTTTTCATAATAATATGTGAATTTTTATCGAAGCAGGGGACTAGGGGAGTGCCTATTGGGATTTTGGTGTTCACATCCCTCCCCCCCCCTCCACAATGCAGCAAATTAATAATTATGCTAATTACAGCAAATAGTTTAAAAAAAACTGCAGATAAGTACATGTAAATATAAAAACTTTAGTCATATCCATCACCACAATTTGTTTTATGTTATATTAAAAACAAATTTAAGACAAAGTGTATTATCAATACAATTTAATTTCAGTAATTATATTATAATTACTAAATTTTCTGTTCTTCGAATCTAGTTTAATAATTATTTATAAAGGGTATTAACTTTTTAAAATTATCAATTAGTTTCAGATGATACTGTATTACTTCACAGTTGAACAATTGAACAAATTGAAAAACGAATGAACAATAAATATTGTATTCTTACTATTTAAAATAACGAGATGTTCTATACATTTAGGTAGATAATTAGATGTATAATACGATAAAGGAATTATATAAATTACCACATAATTTCGAATGAGTCATTATTATTACTTAAGTGATTTTATATTATTTTATTTTAATTTAATTGATATATAATTAGCTTGCAATTAAGACACTTATACAAACAAGGGCCAAATTCAACTTTTAAAAAAAAATACGTCTTATAAAGATTCTAAAATATAAAATTTGTTTATTAGTTATCGATTATGGCTCATCTTAATGTACCATCATCAACTAAGTATTGGTAAAAATTATGTGTGATCAAAATATTAAGTTCGATACAAAATACAAATACGTTTTCTTTGTCTCCCAAAAATTAAAATATGTACATTTTAATTGAATGTTGGAAGAACAATAATTCTTGGGGGAAGGATATAACCTGATATGCCACACGATTTTTGTGGGTACAATTTTTTTTAAAATCACTTTGGTAGGACTCAGTGACTCATTTTTGGAGGTTTACCACCAAAATTGTCCACATAATTACGCATGTATTTAAAATAGAATTTCCGAAAATGTATTTTTTTTATACATATATACGTAATTTATAGTTTTCCTTGTTCTCATAGGATTTCGACACACTGTATCAAACCTCGTCAATTAAATGCAAGCACGTTACGTGATAAATATAAATATAATTATTAATTTATATTCTTCATTATCCATTATAACCAATGGTTATATATACTTAAATCATATAATATATAAGTTTTATAAAAATATGATGGATAAAACTTTTGGTTAAAAATAATTAGGAAACTTTAGAATGTAAGGAACTTAGAAGTTATTAGAAACATCAACGATGATGTAAGTTTGTGAACTCATTAAATTTGATTTAATTTTATTTATTTGGCTGAGAGTGTATGTGAATTTCCCTAAATATGATCTCCCTAAATTGATAAAAGGGTGTTGGTCTACCCACTACAAAGTACAAGAGATTATATTATTTAGTAACAGTATAACGTGCCATATTATATTTAAATAATTAATTTTTGAATAACTTAAACTAATTGTTAATACATACTCAATAATAAATATTATAAAATATATTAATAATAATTTTGAAACATTTAATAGTACAACTACGTCAACTTTTAAATATATGTTTTTTTACTTACAGAATTATAAGTAGAAAAATCGGACGTTGCTTTCTGTGTTTTGTGCAGTGAACTGAAGCATATTATATAAGTTTAAGATTCGTTATGGAAGACACGTTAATTAGGTTTAGATAAGAAATAATTATTTCATTTAGTTGACGCATAAAAATAATAATGTTTATCCATGTATAACACTTTGGTATAATTGATTGATTTAGAAGGACGATTCTGTGGCTGTTTTATAATTATACAATTGTAAATAATGCGTATGTGCTATTTTATAATATATAAAAAACAGAGGTATGCCTGAAAAATAATTTGAGTGATACACTTTCGGCGATGACATTTTGACAATTATATATATGTAGAATTGTAGCTATTCAGATTGAAACGATATTATTTCTTGACAAAATTACTATACATTTTCATTGGAATGTATTTCAAGTAGAATATGCCTATACTTTTATCTAACTCTGTTTGTTTGTATCGATTTTTAGTTTGCATTTGGAACAAAAATCGAATAATATTATATTTATTTTTAATGTAACTTCAGATATTGTAGGTATCTTTTATTTTATGTTATAAAACAAATAATTGTAACCAGTTACATTTTAAATTTATTTGATAATTACGTAACTGGTTACAAGGTTACAAGTTACAAATGTAACTTAGTAACGTTACTTTGATACATGCAAAATGCAACTGACTACTACCCAACGCTGAATATATTACTTATTGGGTATTGGAATGTATATTTCAAGACGGCAAGACTGTATAAAAACAATAAAATATTATAAACATAAGAACTCACTGATTATATAGTCTTATATCGAATAAGCATTAAGTTATGATCCTATTTTGCTCTACAAATTGGAAAGTGTTACAATAAAGACTTGTTGAAAAATATATTACTGTGTAAAATATGTAGGTAATCAATGATGTAATGTTTTAATATTTCCAGCATGGTGGAATCTTTTATTTTATAAAAAATATTTAAGGAGCGCAGGATGCAAGGGATGCAGTTGATCTGTCATTTTGCTCAAAAACATGCATTAGAGGAAAATCTCTTATGCCTCATAAGGTATTCGATTTCGATAAATTTTTTTTTGGAAACAAACATTTCTAAACCCCACAATACGATTTTGAATATGACCAACTTTCACAAGCTATTGTTATCGAAGCTCATGCGCCCAGTAGAAAATTATCCCCTTTTCAAAGCAACAAAATGCAAAGAATCATATATGGTTGGCGTTATCGTAGACATATTGTGTACCTATGCAGAGCGTGCGTAGATAGTCCGGCGCTCGTATACAATCACACTTAAGCCAATCATCATTGATGAGTGACAACTAACACAAATGTCATGGGCGGCGGCAACAAATCGCATATTGCCTAAATATTGTCCCTTATTAAAGAAACACGAGTAGGCCCCATAAGTCATAATAGTCATATTATATTTCTTGTTGTTGTTTTTAGTGCATAGAGTATCGAGTATGTTTATAATTTTAAGACTCTTATAGGTAACGTGATTAATTATAGGTACAGTATAGGCCAAGGTTATCTTAGCGAGGGTAGTGAAACCTAAACTATGAATTTTTACTCGCCTTTAGTAACATTTTCAGAAATAATACCTATTTATTGTAATTATTTTTTTTCTATATATTTAGAATTAGCATATAGATTAAATATTATACAGTTGTATATTTAATTTATAGAATTAGTATTAGTATTTATTATTTAACAATCATCATTAAACAAATATAATTAATATTTGCCATGAATAGTAGTTTAAATTAATGTTGTATGGAAAATGACACGACATTTATTTTATATCTACTTAATATAAAAATAAATATAATTAATTCTGTTGAAAATACAATACGACATTCGTATTACTCACTCATAAAATAGATAAATAAAATTATATGTAACAGTTCTGTATAATATAATTAAACAATTTTATACTTATTGGTACCTAATTTTAGTTAAACTATTTATTATGCTAAATACAAAAAAATGGTCGAATCTGTAAATGTAATACATTCACAGATCGCTAAAAGTATTTGAAATTTTTTTGAAATTTCAGGAAGGGCAGCAGCCTCCTTAGCCTCACCCCTGCCTAGGGGCACAATAAATATATGGGGTGTGGGTGATATACATTGGGATATACGCATATTTGTAACATGTACATAGATAGTTTTATCCAGGAGTTATTTCGAGTGAAGGTTTCTATAAATAAATGATAGTTATTCTAGTAAAATAAAAATCATACTTCTTCTTTAACAGCTTAATGGTCCATCAAGGACCTGCGCTGCCACTAGTAAGTGTAGTCTCTCCATTTTTCTCTGTCCAAGTCGACATTGTAGCAACAAAATATATATAGGTATGTTTGTAAGTGAATCCATTAAAGTTAATAAAATCAGTTTCAATTTCGCCTATACTGATGCTCTTTTCTCAAATAATGTCATCCTAATTAAAGTAGTTTTTGACGCGTTAAATTAATGGGTGCTTGCTGTCCACCGTCACCAAACTTCAATAGTTTGAACCTTTGGCTATGACCAACCTTCGGCATTTTGTCCGATTTTATGTGGGCCTGTGATCATTGCACCAAACCAAACGGATAACAGAGACCCCCCCCCTTCATGGTTTCATAAATAAACACCATCTTTAATCTCATGTGACGTAAGTTCCCATCCTTGTTTACATCGTCGTCTACGAGCACATAACGTCGTGAATATGTAGTTCTAAGCTTATAAAGTGCTGTAAGTTTAGTTGCCTATGTACTCACATGTCAGGCGACACTGTATGATGTTCTTCTGGGTGTATAATTAATAATTATTATAGCCAACATTTTTACCAAAGTGTTTCTAGTGGGTCATTTTCAAAGTAGTAAGAATTAGGTTAGTTATTTGATAGGTACGCCCAGGTTATATGAATATGTGAGAGTATAAATGAACATTAGTGCGTTTGTGCGCTATACACTACAGGTCACAGCGTATCTTAACGCGTATTATAATATAAAAAATGAGAAAGTAGTTTTTAGTCATAAATATGTATTTAAAAAATTAAAAATTGTTAGATCGATTGAATATTTTTAGGAGTTTGTATTTGCATTGCTCGTTAAACTTACAATCAAAAAAATAATTGAACTTTTGAACTTAAATTGAGAAACAGTGACGGTAGATGTATAGTTAATAAGAATAATAAAGTAAAAAAATAACAATGTATTTGTTCCGTCTATTGATAAAAAAATACAATACTACATATCAAACTTTCAACCTTGTTAATTACTTAATTTAATAGACTTATGTCCACCGGAAAATTAGCAATGGCCAAGCATTTGGACCAAAGTGAAGAAGTTCGTATTTTTGTGGTCAAATATAACTAAGTATGGATAATATCGTCTGTTCATAGTTTCATACATCAATGATCAATTATGTGCATATAATATGTTCCTAAAGTTTATATTTTATCGATAAATTAAACCGTTTCAGCAAGTTAATACTCAATATTAAGAAGATGCCACTGCGCCCGCATAAAACAAAATCGTGCCTATGTATTTTTAATATTCTTCAACTTCTATTGTAACAATATATTAGGAACCTTGTATTACATTTTATTGACATTTCTAAACTTTTAATCATAAATAGACACTAAAAAATTTAAAAAATTTAAAAACGTTTGTAATTACAAATAATCGAAAAAAATAAATTGAATTTAAATAAAAGTATCTTATCGAATATCTTATATCTTTTATAATTAAAATGTCTTGTAATTAGGTACCTAAATATTAATAAATTGTATTTAGGTATATATAACTTGCTGTATAAGCCAGAGGTATTCAAACTTTTTCATCCCTCGGCTCCTTTAAGTCTTCACAAAATGTTGACGGCTCTCAAATTATAAATGACAAAAAAAATCAATGTTTATATGAATGTAATTTATATTTTATAATTTATTTTTATTATTTATTTACTATGTAACATATATAAAAAAATTAAAGTTGTATTTAGTGAATGATTGTTGTAGACTATTCAACGTTTCCCGACCGGTGTGCATTAATGATAATAGTAAACGTTTTTCGTAAAAATATTTATTGGTTTTCAATTATACTACGCGGCTCTCTTCGACAACTCCCTCGACACCCCTGGGAGCCGCGACGCACAGTTTTAATACCTCTGGTCTAAGCTATTAAATGGACTGGGAGGTAATGGCCCAGTATTTTCAAACAATAAAATGGTTTGGCCATCAATATGGGTATGGTTTTATTACTTTAAAGTTTAAGGTATGGGTAGTTATTGCATTTTACAGAATATAGTCTTGTCAATAGAACGAGTCTATAAAAAAAAATTTGTAGAATACAGTATTATAGGAGTTGTTATCTGTTGCCGGCAGCCGTTTAGTGATAACAGGCAACCATGCGCGTGTTATGGAGATAATGATATAGTATCTATTATCTTAGTTCATGGTGCTTTACTGCAATGTAAAAAAATACCGACAAGAGACATGACTTGACAACACACAACTACTACTCAAGTACTCAACGTCTCGACAGTGCACACTGCACATCTTTTATCAATGACTGTGAATGAGTGAAAACTACTAAATATATCTATTTTGTCATGATAGTGTGCTTGTGCGGTGGTGAACACGCCTTGTGCACTGTTAACAGTTGTATACTTTGACAATTGACTGCGGTGTGGGTGTGCACTGTGCCGCTATTCATTTCATTGTTTAATATTATTGTTATTATTATTTTATATTTACTGCAGTCGAGGGCTTCAGCCGAAGAAGACTTCGTGAGTGTTTTTTTTTTCATGCATAAACCGCACAGTGCCTGAACGCCATTGCGACACTGGCGAGTGTCGTTCGCAGCACGCATCGCAGCCGTCGTCGTTTGTCGCGCGTTTTATTAATACACCGGCAGAACTACTCGCCGGGGCATTGTGCTATAATTATCTCACGATCCGCTGGCAGGTCTGCCCGTTTGACGATAGATAATTCGCCGGGTAAACGCTGACAGTGCACCTCACAGAATCCCTCACAATTATTGGTAGGTACGCCGTTGGAGATCACGGCAACTGTAGCACTAAAATATAGATCGAGTGATATATTCGGGTTTTAATATTGTATGTGGTGATTTAGGAGAGAACCGGGAACATGGACGCCGAATCGTTTTTGGAGTTTGCCAGCCAAGTGACCAAATGGAAGATGTACCCGTACTTCGACGTCGCCCATAGCGTGCTCTGTGCGCTCCATGTCCGTGACGACCTCGGTCCAGGTAACAGTGGAACGAGTGCTTTAAACTGGCCAGTGACGTTACTTACGCCCGTGTGTTTATTTGTCATGTTCCACAGGAGCACTGGCGTTTTCACGCAAGCACCCCATTTCCTGTTGGTTATCTACGATGCTGGTCGTCTTTGCTGGGGGCATGTTGAGCGCTGCTCTACTTGGCGAACCCCCTCTTGCACCGCTCAAAAACACTCAACAACTTTTGATTGCTACAGCAGTATGGTAATAAAACTATTAAATATAATAGTTATCGATTTGCTCAGTAGACAAAAACTATTCCCTATCTGTTTAACCCTACTGATTTTCCTCAGGTATCTAGTTTTTTACACACCGTTTGATATTGGATTCAGTATTGCAAAGTTTCTTCCTGTGAAATTAGTGTTTTCTGTTATGAAAGAAATATACCGGTATGTATTTACATTAATGTCATTGTATTCTTGTAACAAATCTGTCATTTTTCAGTTGCAAAAAAGTACATGATGGTGTATTGCATGCAGCTAAACTCTATCCCAACGCCTACATCATAATGGTTTTAATCGGGACCCTTAAAGGTATTAGAACTTAGTAATATAATCACCTTATAATTTTGTTGTACAACATTGAACAATAAACATACCATTTATTAATTTTAGGAAATGGTGCTTCGTTTACCAAAATTATTGAGAGACTTTTAAGAGGAGTATGGACACCCACATCTATTGAGACATTACAACCCAGTTTGTATGTAAAACAGATTTGTGTTCGTTTTGAAATTGTATTATAATATTATTTTATTATTTATTCCTTTCAGTACTACTAAAGCATGCATTATAGCATCCGTGGTGTTTGTACTTGATATTAAAAGTGATTTGATATCAGCTCCACATGCTTTTGTTTATGTTTTCGTCATCGGTTTCTTCATATACTTCAAGGTTTGTTTAATTTATTATACATATTAATTTATAATAATGCCTAAATTTAATTTAATAAAACATCTGAAAGATTGAAAATCTAAACATATCCCTTTCAAACGCTGTAACTTGGATCAATTTAAGTAATATAAATTTAATTATGTCAGATGCAATATTTGTCCATATGTAACAATCCAAATCCAAAAACATCTAAATAATGACTTTAAATTTCAATTTTGTAATTTATATGTATGATGATACACCAACTATGTAAATCTATATAAATATTAAGTTTTTATTTTTTGTTATTTATTTCAAAAATATTTCTATTTAAAAAATTGCATTGGCGTTTAATTTTCAAATATTTACCATACATTTAGTTAGATATTCATTTTAGAGAAATTTTGCCAACATATTATTGCACGAGTTAAACCAACTATTGTTCAATTTTATCATTTAAAGTTAAAGTATGGAGTACAAAAGTTAAATATTATTGTATATTTAAGTTATTTTACTGTCTTGTTCTTATTTTTTAGAATTCATTACCTAGTATCCAGTTTGTTTGATATTTTATATATTAATATCCATTAATTATTATTTTTATTTTCTATTTAAGTTTCAAACAGCAAACTATGTTTATCAACAAAAAAATCAAAAATCATTATTTTTTTTATTCAGCAGTTTAAAAGAAATTCTAGAAAACTAATAAATATTAAATAATGTTATTTTATTCAAAGTATTTATAGATTCAACCCTTTGATGACTAAAAAAACATACAAAGGCATTACTTAGATAGAGATTAAGAATAGAAAAATAAAAAAAATAAATTATAAATGTAGAGCAATGACATTAATGTCTCATTTTTACCACCATATTTTTAGCAATAATGTATAAATACATACTAAATAAGTGTATTTACTGTAAAATAGTAAAATAAATACATTGCCTTATAAGATAAAACCTTATGAAATAAAAAAAAAATATGATTGGTAAAAATGTAGGTTATGTCAATGCTCCTCGTGCTATAATTTTTATAAATGTTATTACTCCTCAAACTGTTAATGAAATGTATAAGACAGTAACCAGACTTAATAGTTTTGAAACTAAGTACATTTTTGTAGTATATGTAATTAATTCATAAGTATTTTAAATAATGTTTCTTATTATTTTTAAGGTATTTTCTTCAATGATTTTGGGTATACATGAGCCAATGTTACCATTTGAAAACTTGATATGCGCAATATTCTTTGGAGGTATATTTGATTATACTACAAAAGCATTCAAAAATACCAAAGACGATAAAGTAGATACAAAAAAGAAAGATTAACCATCAATGGAATTTGGTTAATGTTCTAAATTATGAAATTCACTATGTGATGAATTATTTTATATCTAGTCGATGCATTTTTCTTGCACAAAAACAAAACATAATGTTCCCCAATTGACTATTAATTATAAAATCAGTTGTTTTTTTTAAATGTATTATTTTTGTTGTATTTAATATTTATAACTAAATTTAATGTAATATTAATAAATTGTTAAAACTAACAGGACTTTCTACAGCATTAACTTATTAATCTTTTTAATAAAGTAAATAAGGTGAATTACAAGACTGCCCATCTATTATTTAATATATGTTTGTTGTTACATTAAACTTATACTTCAGTAATAGTTATGGATATGACCAGTAATATGAATAATGTTATAAGATATTTTTTTTATTTAGAAAGATTGTACTGCTAAGAAAGTAAGAACAGTGCTAGAACTGTAAAAATATTGTCTACAGATATAAAAGCTATACATATTGTATTGAAAATCTGTAATTTCGGCTGTTACGCATGTTTCATTACATGTTAAGTATTTTTTTTATAAAATACCTATAAAGTAATCATTTAATATAGGTACAATCTATGTACCTACAAAGCTACAACACTGGCATTCAGTAAAACCAATCTTGTGTTGTTAACATTAATATTTAGAACAAATTGACCCCTGACTGAGCTTGAAGGTAGAATATTATCTGGGATAATAATAATTTATATATTCGTAATAAATAATTTAAGAAGTTTTCTTAAGTCAGGCTCAGGATATTGCAAAAAATAATATTTGAAAAAAGTTATAAAATTTCAACTTAATTTACCCCAAAAAATGTTGATAGTTAAAAAACTTGCAAAAAAAACTATTGACTTGAAGAAGCGTTCTACCATTAAAATTTGACTGAAAATTAGATTTCCTAATTGGCTGTTGAACATTTTTTTAAATAATTATTTTTCTTTTGAACATATAATTACGTCTGCAAGAACTATTATAACAAATAAAAAAGACTAGTCTAACTGTGTGAAAAATAATATATATATGACAATAATCTCAAACCCGATATAGTGATGCGTATACATAATAATTTAATATTTTTGTTGAAAAAATTATGTTGGGAAATTGTTCCATTGTTTAAATTTTAAAGAGTTTTGTGTAATTTTTACTGTAATTGCGCCAGCATGCTTATTAAAAAAAAAAAGAAAAAAATTCACATTTTTAAAACTCCCCTATACTACAATATAACCGGGGCGGCGGCGAGAGTGATGGTTATGATCACATTCCGTGCTCTTTTCCGTTTCATCTCCTACTTTAAATCGCCGTCGTAGCGTCATCTTGTCGACGTCTTCGGCTATTGGAGCTCAACTATTGTGAGCTGTGTCGATTTTTCAACACAAGACACAGAAAATGCATCTGACGCGTTTCCACCCCATGGAAAATCTGCCCCTACAGGGTGGAACCCATTTTCCATATGTTCCTGCCTGGTCCATCCAATCAAACAGCTCACCAAAACTGTACATTATTGCCTTTTCCTTGGTCGGCTCAATTCCCGTACTTAGCACTTCAGCAGGCGTCACGTCGGCGAGAGGTCCGCCCTCGGAAGTCGCAGTGGGATATATTTTACATTTAATACGACGACGAGCAAAGACATTATTATTACGTATATTATTATTATACAATTGTATGGTCTAATTTAATTTAATATATTTTAAATAATATTGCTAGTGTATAATAATACTTATGACGTATATTATTATTTATTATATAACTAAGGGCCAAACTGTGCGTCGACTAGAAGGAACGAGTTATATTATTTGGCGCCTCAGTATAGGCCACATAACAACCACATGCGACCAAAGAAGATTCTCATGCCTTACTCTTTACTCACGAGTCACGGAGCACCCATAACGGTCAATTGTCAAGCATATATTTCAATGTGTTCATTTGATCTTATTTACATAGGTACCTATTAAAAGAAAAGTGATTTGAAAAGTTTATTATATATATAACTGCCAACTAGTGATTTCATACATGTCACCCTAATTCTATCTGAATATTACCTACACGAAATTGCATGGAATTTTGATACTATCTTGTCGGGTGTTGGGAAAAAATTGATTTTTTAGTTATTATAAGCAATTAAGCAAACAATAAAAGCCTGTTCGAACAGATTATAATTTATCTTTATTAGCTAGAATACAGAATAGTTCAATAATGTCGTGTGAATGTGTGATGTACCTACTGCTAGTTATTTATTATTCATAATTAGATATCATAATATTTTTAATTTTATACATCACCAGAGTTTTCTAAGTTTCCCTATAATTTTTTTCTTTCATATTATATGTTCTGCTATGTGTTTGATTAACAATGATACATTTTTAGTCTTTAAAGTATTGTTATACAAACAGGAACACCCAAAATGAAATCAATAATACTTTAATGAATAATTGCGCCTTTGTATATAATTATACTATATATTCAGAAAATATAATACCTGTAAAGTAAATGGTGAAATCTATTTACCTAATATTATGTAGTTAGTATTATCCATTAGGGTTATTCGTTTTTGAATTACAACAAAATAAGAAAATCGATTTTCTTTTCAACGCGAAAACGGTTTGATCAAGAATCGTTGAGAATCGAATGGCACGGAGAAAACTGTCGGTGGTCACAGATTTCATTTAAACTTGACCGATGGAAAATCTCTTAGTTACGGTGGTTTAACACCCATTAAGTTTATGATGCAAAAAAATCATTAACAAAAATGTTCAAGATAATAATAATAACAATAATATACAAACATATATAAGTATATTACAGATTAATTTTGACCATAGATCCACAGCTATGAAATCATTTTTTGACACCCAACAATCATACATAGCAGATTCATTGATTTAGTTAATTTTAGTTGTAGCACTTTCGTTAGATTTATTTGTTTAATAATGTTATCGTAATTTTCCCACAAGCATAACCTGGAACAGTTATATAGTTATCCTCCATATGTTCGCATTTTCGATAACCAAAGTAGATATTTTTTTATTAAATTAAATCGATTGAATAGAATTACACACAATGACAAATAAAATATAATCTTCGAGAAACCGTTAGGTTAATTTCAATTTATTGCTTAACGAATGACGATATCTATCTAACCCCGCTAGAAAGTTTTCTAACTGTAAAATATCTTTGATTTCAAGGTTGTAAGGTACCTTATATACCCTAAGGGAATTTAACTTCAACTCTATATCATTTTTCCTGCATCATTATATTTAAGTTTAGCTCTACATAATATTATATTATATTAATTGATAACGTCAAAGTTCATTATTTTTTACCGATGAGCTGACAGTATTCAAAATAAACCAATTTATCTACTAAAAAATCGTAATGATTATCGACCTGAACCAGAAGTATTCTCGTGCTGTTTTTCTTTACTATATAAGGTATTATGAACTTAACGCGTTATGACGTCGTTTATATTTTTTACCTAATAATATTAATTATCATGGTCGAACAGTTTTCTAGTGCTTGACAGAGCGTATCATAAAATTGATTGCCTCTACCATCATGGACCATAGACGATAATGTTCACATAATCATTTCAGTTATGTTATACAATATCCTTATTTATTTTATTTGAATGTAAAAGCATTGTTGAATTGTTCTGAAGAGCACTAAAATAATTATGTAAACTGAATAAATATGAATTTTAAAACAAATAATTGTATTGCACATTATCTCTTATTTTTGTTTATACATAAAAATCAATCTACTATCATTCATTTTGGTTTTGAATTAGTCGCTGATATTAACAACCAAGATGATGTCTCACTCTCATACTATGTTGTCTCCATCTTTATAACGCATAAGACAACGAAATGCACGTTCGTCCAGCAGTTTAAATTTTGCTTTAAAATTAGCTAAAATATTATAGAGTGAAATTACCTATTATCGATCTTTAATGTAAGAACATTATCTGTGTCTTCTCGTTGGTTTTTTACGATATTTTAAATATATAATAAGTGTATATTTATATTTCATATAACTCGCTTCAAAAATTAAAACATCGTAAACGAGAGAACACATATACGGTTCTTACATTTAGGTTTGAAAATAAATCAATTCACTTAGTAGTGAAGCTAATTGTAGCACAAAATTGAAACTGCTAGACGTACATTTTTGGTGTTACGCGTTAGTAAGGCGGGGACGATGTACGAGAGTGCGACGTCATCTAAATAGTTCATATTAGCGACAAATGGAGTACGACGTCCTGTTAAGGGAAAAAATATTGAACTCAATACCATCATAAATATATTATATATATACGATCAGTATATTATGCCTATCTGCTGTGGATTGCGGGCCACACTTGATGAGTATTTTATATAAATAATATGGTTTATTTTTATTTTGATTGCGGCGGACACGCCGATGAGCGGCTATATGTGCAACTCAGCCACCTCGGTAGGCAATGTGTGAAAATTCAATTGTATGCATGCTTATACTTGATCTGCCCGATGAACCACTGCAGACAACCAATAAACAAAAAAAAATTACCAATTTTTACTAAATATATTTATATTTCTCCTATAGCCAATAGCAACCACACATAAACTAATATTTCCTTCTTAAATCTTAAAATCCCTGTTTGAGCAACATCCGGGGTCAAACCTATCGGGTCCAATTGTAAATCTAAGCCATCCAGGACGTCAATCAAACGCATACAAAAAAATTCATTCAAATCGGTCCAGCCATTTAGGAGTTCAGTGAAATATACACGTACGTCGTACAGTATATAATTATATTTATACAAATATATTATGTACTATATTATATTCTTAATTGTTTATTTTATTACTTAAGAGTTGAGTAATTTTTAATTTTAACTAATTTGTTTTAATTTTTAATACAATACTATACTTTTTTATAACTATAACTGGCAACGTCGCAAAACTTTTATACATTCCACATACCTACATTACATTCACAGGTAAAATAAAAAAAAAACCAATATTTTATGACGACAATTTTCGGAATCGTATATAGATAAAAAAAATAGGTATACTGTGCGAAATCGTGTGTCACCCGAAATGTTTAAATAATACTTATTATTTTCTAATAATGAAAAGTGTGATTAAAGCATTGGACCAGTGAACATCGTT